CTGTCTTACAATTTGATCATTCGTTGATCCTTACTGAAGCCAGCCGCTTGTGTTTTTGGTAAGCGTTTAGGTAGTCTATTTTGTAATAAAATAACTGCGAGAAAGATGTTTAGAATTTTCTTGTCATTGTCTGATCCTATTAGTTGCATGTGTATTGTAATGATGTATTTAAATGTTTGTTTACTTGTAGGAGAACTTCCATCCTCTGTTTCGCATTAATCTTTGGAACCTGGACCGAGCGGAATAAATCCTAACTGAACCCATCGGAAGTTACCGTCAATGAATTAAGGAGAAACCCATCCGTTAGAACTCATTACAGTTCTCTTATGGCAGCGGTTATAAATTTGGGTGATTATTCTTTCATAAACGATTTTAATTTTGGGTGAATGTATTCATATCATTGACTTTAATTGTATTCTCCCTGTCGGTTACCTTTGGTAATTCTTGGATAATGCCAATTCGTTTACTTCGGAACATTCATGAGAGATTGTGTCCACATCATTAATTTGAAATTCTATTCGCGCCATTCATGAGAGATTGTTTACGTGTTTTTCAAGCGTGATTGCAGTCGCATCATTCATGTGAGATTGTGTTTAGGACATTTGCGTTACATTTATGGGTGTTTTTTTTTCACACTGACAACCTAATCTATAAAGAACGTTGAACGCGCTCGAAGGTATGCCGCAGGACGAAACGAAGGTGCAAGTACTTACGCAATCGATAGGAACTTAGAAAACGAGTGAAAACATTGATGTATATTTCTAGTGTGGAACCAAAAATGTGACTTCAATATTAAGGTTTTTCTTTGCAATACTCTCTTGCACAATCTGACATGCTCCACAAGAAAAAAAAATATTCGCAGAAAAATGGGAGTTCGTCTTATTATATCTAACAGAGTTAAAAAATTTGGTATAATTTATTACCGACGAAGGTTCACTTAAATGATTGAACTTTTTAGCCCATCCATTTTTCACTTGAATTTTTCGTGTTACAAACACAACGGATATGAGGCGTAACTTAACCTCAGATGGTTAAAGCCAACTTAATTTGTTGGTTCACCCATCTGCGCAAATGTCACTTGGAAGGAAAAGTTTATTTCTACCAATGCCGGTTAATTTTTGTTATTCACTAATGATGATTAATTTAACGACCAAAAAGTTTTCAATAATGATTTTATTCTCTTGCTATTCTTATATAATGATGTATAATGACTCCCATAAATGAGCGAAAAGTATTCGAGCCGAGCGTTCAGTGCATCTTGAGCGACCGAAAAATTTACCCGAGATAAGCTACGACTAACATTTTTATCGGGAATCAATGTGGAAATACAAGAATGGATGACTAGAAGCAACGTTAAGGGCTGAAGGATGCAATGAATGAAGCACAAGACTCGTCGCATTCAGAAGTCCCATCAGAGGAATAATCTGGACTCGTTTAAATCATTGGGACGACATCAAAGCCGAGGACGATGGGTTCCGAGCGCCGCGATTGCTTTAATCTCAATTTGCCAGTCGCGCTTGATGAACTAAGTTGTTCTGTGAATAGAGAATTGTTCTAGAGAACCGCTCCGCTGGTGGGTGACGTCCCAGCGTTGATGAAGTAAGTTGTTCTGTGAATAGAGAATTGTTCTAGAGAACCGCTCCGTTGGTGGGTGACGTCCCAGCGTTGATGAACTAAGTTGTTCTGTGAATAGAGAATTGTTCTAGAGAACCGCTCCGTTGGTGGGTGACGTCCCAGCGTTACTGAACTAATTTGTTCTGTGAATAGAGAGTTGTTCTAGAGAGCCGCTCCGGTAGAAATGACGTCCCGGCGTTGACGAACTAAGTTGTTCCATGAATAGAGAGTTGTTCTTGAGAGCCGCTCCAGTAGAAATAATGTCCCGGCGTTGCTGAACTAAGTTGTTCCATGAACATTTAGCTTTGTTATTGAGTGATGTATTCACATCATTAAGTCCCGGCGTCGCTGAACAAAGTTTTTTCGGAAGTAGATTTTATAGAGAGCTGCTCTCTAGCTCGTGATTTTAGGCTGGAGTTGATGAACTGTAACTATTCAACTATCGAGAAATATTCTAATGAGATCTCACACTTTCAAATGAGAACGCTCAGGCGGTGTTGATCTAAGTTGCTCTTACAGAGAGAGCTGCTCTTCAGCGCCGCTCCCATTACGTGCCCGCGCATTATATTAAGTTGTTTTACACTAGAAAATTGTTATCAAAAGATACAATTGTATCATGATGTTCCGGCCCGCGTTGATGGATCCGTTCTATTTCCAAGTCATTAAATTTATAAAAATATTTTACGAAGAATTGTTTTCATTGTAATTGATATGAACACAATTACCGTTTATAAGTTTAGGAGTAAATTTTGGTTATCTGACAGTGAATCACGATCGAATATTAATAATAATAATGCATATTGATTCTTAACAGAATTAGGATTTTCTGTTGCCTGCTCATTCCCAGTTTCATCATTAACCATGTTGTTTTTCTGTTATGAAATTTCAGTATTTTTTCGATGAAGAGAGAAAACACAGCGCAAGCAAGACACGATATATGTGACCATGCATGCAGATGTGAGTATACGCTGCACAGTGACCATGAAGATGTGATGATACGCCGCGCTATCATCACATCACTAGATGCGATGATAGGCGTTAATTAAGACTCACTGCCAGATTAGTTTGTTCCCTCAGACTTCAGAGGGCCGTTCTTCCCTCGCACAGCCCTCGCGCCGCTCCCCTCACGCCTGTGTATAAGAGGGGCAACGAGCTCCCTTTCTCATGGCCTGCATGTATATGCGCTCACATTTGAAGTCAGCTTAAATCGACCGCAGCTTTGTGACCAGTTCCTATGAATTATATTGTTCCAAAAAAGAGAGATTTGAAAACAAAATTACGATGCTGAAAATGTATCACGCATCTATATTGTTGTAGGCAAACAATTTAGAATTATCTGTTACAAAATCAATCCCTGAAACCACGCTCACAGAATCAGCGTTCAAAAAACTTCAAAATACAATATTCAAATCGTGGATGTTCTAATCGCAGAAAAAAATAATACTGTAATAAAAAATATTTGAACAATTTTACCACAAAAAAATTAATGCTAGCACTGAAACTCTAGTTGGACAAGATAAATTTTGTTTTCGAAATTCTGGTTACGCAGCATTTGATAGTGAAAACAAATTCGCACATATTATTGATAACTATGGAAACTAGATCAAACGTAAAGCAAAAATATTACCTTATTTTAGAATCATAGGAATTTATAATTTTTCCGACTCGTCAGCTTTTCACTGTCAATTTTTACTGACATTCTAACATTAGAAACAATATAAGTAAGCAATGGTACATTAGATGGTAATTCAACATTCCGATTATTTTATTCAACATATTTTAGTTGTATTAATTTGGTCTACATCAACTGTAGTAAACTAACCCAAGCTTTAAATACGCTGCACTATTTTAATCCCCCTTGATGACAGACATTTTATTTGTTTTATTTTTTGCGTCAATGAAAATTAATTGACCGCTTATGATTGCTCGATTCAAGACATCTTGAAATCGACACCTTATGTTTCAGTTTTTAATGCAATCTTCGACGCTACATGTTATATTCATAATATTACATTTATGTTTATATAATGTTTATATAATGTTTATATTGTAATTGTGGAGTTGGAAGCTGCAACTATTTTTCGCTTAACATCGTTGTAACGATCGAACTACAACCGATGGATGTTCCATTGCTACGTACCCGATGCTGCAAATATTATGCACAATTCGTTATTTGTAACGTAAATGCCACTAGCTGAGTAGTAATAACACTCATGTCGCCAGCCTACAATGGAAACGACCGATTTAAAAAAAAAATAACTGAACCCTAACTGAAAGTGAGACCGAAGCAACTAAGTGGGAGCGAAGCAACTTCGCAGTCATTATGTGGTCATCGAGTTCTACAAATCGTAGTTCTGGCCAGTATAATATAAAGTATATGGTTGTATTGCCGATCGAGGGGCGAGTTGAGTGTGCAGTATCTATTAAGGGGCGACTCGTGTGTCGTTGACAGTATTGCAATTACGTCCCTTGTGCAAAAGAAGCATGAAGCTGCAATTAAAATTGCCGTGCAATTCCAAATTAATCTTAATTCTATTTGAAGGATGAGGTTGCAATTTAGATACACTCTATCATGTCTCTAGCTCCGTTGCCCGCCGCTCTGGCAAGTCACAAAGGTAGAAGCAGCTGCTAATTACGAACTTTTCCATTATGCCCCGGGTATCCGAGCTGCAGTATTGAAGACCTGCTCATCAAAAGTCCACCGTCCCATAAAACAGAATAAAGCGGATCATCCTTTGATGGCTCGTTGTAATTAATTAGAAGCATTACCACAGATTAACTTACCGGAGGGCTGAGCCTCCCTCTGCCCGCCCTCACATCGTTGCCATTTACTGCGGCACGACATGCGCCAAAAAAATATATTAGCTGGAAATTTTTTTCATGCAATTTTTCAAATTTAAATGTTTGAAGGAATCGCAAACAAGTTTATATTCAAAATTAAATTTTTTACCAGGAAAATTATTTCAAAATTTGACGGCTTCTGTTGAAGAATCGCCAGCACAATTTTCGAGGGTAAGAACGAGTGGCTTTAGGCTGAGCGAGAGGCGGGGCTTTCCCCTTAGATGGGCGGAGACTCCTGCGAAGTGAGAGGGAGTTCTATGGCGCTGCCATCCAGAATAATATATTATAACTGGATTATATATACAGAAATAACTAGCAATCATAACCAAAATTCATCCTTGGTCTGAAACCTAAATTATTGTAGACTGTAATAAGGCCTAATTACTGGACTTTATTTTGAAGAGAATAGAGCAATATAAGACTTGATTTTTTATAGGCTTCAGCTCTATATTTATTTTTAGCGATCCCGAGCTCCGCGATCGAGTCGAGAATGCCTGGCCTGATGGCTTCCCTCGGCATTATTTGCACAAGGACAGCCAAGGGACGCGCATCTCTTACTGAGCTCCGAGGGTATCGTGCGACGCTGACATCGAGCTGACACTCAGGTGAGGGTTACGTTACCACATCTGATGTCAGGTTACTAATGGTTGGAAATGACTGCCATTTATCTCAATTTATGTTATTAGGTAAATTTAAAAACATATGTTTCATATATTACTATGTTTTTATATATTTAGCATGGATGTTGTCAGTGAATTTTGGATGAGAAACTTCATGCAGTGAAAACGACAACGACCCGTTTCTCTCATAATTGAATCATGATAAAATAAAAAATAATAATAAATAATTTCTAGGGTAAATAGGTTGCTATTTTCCTGAAATATTATTTTTTAACGAGAAGGGCTGAATTAATATAAACTAATTATATAATAATTACAAAAACTTCAGCACGTATCACAAGGTCAGAGCCCAATCATCCCAAGTTTCTAAAAAAATCACTCGTCTAACTGTTGCTGTCATATGAAATAAATTTATTCCCTCATTCAGTGAAATTTAATCCTAATAATTTCATGTAAGAAAGCTCGCAAAAAAATAGCAAATTAATTTTCTATTTACAACATATCAAATGGTTTAATAACAACTTAAAATTTTCAATCATAAGTGCAATATATCTCATTTTAACCAAGAGCTTTCAGTTCCATGTTATTCCATGCACGATTTCTATTAGTGAGCTCATCACCCATTCGTCAATTAATACTTGGATTAAAAAATTTAAATTATGAATATGTCTAAAAAAATGTTTTTCTTCATTCTCGCGTTTTATATTTTTGACAAGAAATTTATTTATGTAGTATATTCTCGCCGACACATAAAATGCTTTTCGCATCGACGTCTAGGGTTGAGACATGGCGGGCGGGTACCTTGGAACATCGGCTGCAGGTCTGCCTCATATCTCCACGGAGATACTCATGGATGAGTATATGTTTGGTCGTCGCCGGCAGGTGATTAGCTGCATTTAACCGTGTATTAATTAGACAACAATTATTAATAATTGATAATATTAATAATTAGACAATAATTACAATAATAATGATTAGACAATAATTATTAATAGCAATGATTAGGTAATAACTATTAATAATAAAGACTTGACAATAGTTATTATTAATAATAATTAGACAATAATTAGCAAAATCTAACTATGAATTGTTGTCATATGATCCCGTCGAAATATATAAACTATGAGGTAATGATATAGGTAAGTTGTATATTATGGGATAGGTAATATATTTAACGCTTCAAGCAGCGTATTAGGAAGAAGGCGAGTCACACGTTCTAATGACCCGTGAACGCTTGATTCGAAAGATAATACCTGTTCGGATAACGCATCATGATCAACAACATTCGTGAATAAATATTAAACTGAGATTAATCTTGCTGCAAAATCCACAGTTAAAATTGCGCGAGTTGTTGGCACAGTATTAAATGCTTCATGATGCTTTCTCCTGGCATTTTACGCTAGGCCTCGGATCTGTTGTTGACATTCAACTGCAGGAATATAATGAAACAAGTTTCAACGAATGAGCTTGCTTAGTCATTTCTATTCATCTTCGATAGGCCTACTTTTTATCGTTCTAAATTTATTGTTACCAGCCATCGCCTTTCATGATTGTTACCAGAGTAATTTCTGTATCACTGTTACATAATATCATTGTATAATGGTACCATCACTCAATAGAGTGCGTCTCACTCGCACCACATTCACCACACATTTCATTGTACTTCGCAGCGTCGCAACCGCACCACATTCACCACACATTTCATTGCACCTCTCAGCGTCGCAACCGCACCACATTCACCACACATTTCATTGCACCTCTCAGCGCCGCAACTACATCACATTCACCACACATTTCATTGTACCTCTCAGCGGCGTAACCGCACCACATTCACCACACATTTCATTGTACCTCGTAGCGCTGCAACCGCACCACATTCACCACACATTTCATTGTACCTCGCAGCGCCGTAACCGCACCAAATTCACCACACATTTCATTGTACCTCGCAGCGCCGTAACCGCACCACATTCACCACACATTTAATTGTACCTCGCAGCGTCGCAACCGCACCACATTCACCACACATTTAATTGTACCTCGCAGCGTCGCAACCGCACCACATTCACCACACATTTAATTGTACCTCGCAGCGCCGCAACTACATCACATTCACCACACATTTCATTGCACCTCGCAGCGTCGTAACCGCACCACGTTCACGGCGCAGCAGCTGAGCGAGCTGGAGACGCTGTTCCAGCGCACGCATTATCCTGACGTCTTCCTGAGGGAGGAGGTCGCCTGCAGGATCAGTTTGTCTGAGGCCAGGGTCCAGGTTAGCCTATTAGTTATAGTACATAAGGTTTTCTCAAATCATCTTTACTTTACATCATATTAGCAGGAAAATAAAAAATTTATTATGAAAACGCTTCTCATTCAGTTACTCACAAATTAATTTTCAGAGGCATCTTATACCATTGGGTAAGAAATAGTTCTGAAATTCTTAAGCTTCATACCCCGTGAAGTCTGGACAACCATGTTTTCGAGTAGTGTGACTTGCATGTAATCAGTGAAATATTTGCTTGAGTTTTTTATTCTAAAAAATACTCAGTCGAGTAGCACATGTGTTATTTACACAAATTGTGTAAATATAGTAAAACGATGAATGTGAACCTGTGAAATATGAAAGGAAACTTCAGCAGAACTAATCCTTTTTTTCATACTTTGCAACGATTTAATTACTTTTGTTGCATTCAAATACTTCATTCTTATATAATATTTTATGTAAAAAAATGGCTTTCAAGTTTTTAGGGCTGTCATTGACACGACATGAAGTGAAGTAATTTATTCATATTATTCGTGGCTTCACTTAATATAATTGAGCGATGGATCAGTAAATTGGTGTGATAATAGTGGCATCCAGGGGCGTCTCTATAGGTTGTAAGGACAGGAGGCAAAGCCCCTAAGTTTTTTTAACTATAATGTTATATAATGACTGATTGTATGACTATTTATTCAAACTTATATTCAGAACTTTTTTCATTACATTTATTGGCCTTTTGTAAAAATGAAAATGTCATGAATGAAGTAATAATTGTTTAGAAGTGTTTAAGAATATTTAGCTAAATCCCATAAAACAAGCCAGATGACGCCACTCGTGGTACCCTATATAGAGGTACTTGTGTCATTTACTGTGATGTGTTGGCACTGTAGCGGGCCTACTTTTGACCACGCTGTCAGTTTTAAGTGGCCGCATTTCTCCACTTATAACTGAAGATATGAAGTTTAGATACGCATCATTTGTAGAATTATTCATTACTGAACTTTTTGGATGAACACGACGAGCTGCTATAACACGCTCATGACAGCATATACCCCTAGTAAAAAATTTTCATTACTGCCAGGGCCAAAATCTTGGAAGCTCAACTGTGTGTTCTTAAATACCGCCATCATGGCGCCAGGCCCATTATTCACTCAGTGCCCATTCCGGTGTCAGGTTTTTCAATAAACTTTTCACTTTAAAAAGCTTTATACAGTAAAACTAAGAAGCTTGTAGTTTCTAAAAAAAACAGCTTTGAAAAAATTTATTATTTTTAAGTCATATACTTCATTTTTCATAATACGATTACATGATTGAAATGAGCAACGTTTGTCGTTCGACATCGACCGATAAAATTAAGTAGCACACGAGAACTGTCGCCAGCAACGTGAACTTCGTGAAGTCGTGAACGCGGTGTAGTGTCATGTATATACAATATATTCCCTCCGGCCGCTTTACCCTAAATCGGGATAACATTTCAATATTTAACGAGTCGAACAACAAATTTTGCTCTAAAGGAAGTGTAGAAAGAAGAACCGTAAAGGATTGGCTAGGTTTTGTCATCGATGTTGCTTGAACCTTTGACAATTTTTTTTAATTTGATCAAAAAGTGAGTGAGGTGCCAGGGCAAAGTTGGACATGTATGACACTCACACCGCTTTGAGTAATGCCTAGTAAGTACAACCGTCATTGAATAAAACGATCATAATTTACTGGAGGAATTTCGTGAACTGCACCACAATATGAAACAATATATTGTGTGGTACACAATTTTATGATCCTCACCTGAAATATCCAAATTTTTTAGACCTTTTTTGTATAACCGAAGGTATATGTACATTGTTCAATGCCTGTACTCAGGCAATGCGCTTCATCACAATAATGTCAAGCAGTGCCATCCCAAAATTATAGTGACCTGAACATTAATTTATTAAAAACTTAAATGTCATCAGTTGCTAGTCTTGTCTGGTGTCAATCTGGCGTCTCATTCTATTCAATATAATTATAATGAATAGAATGAGACGCCTGATTGGCACCGGGCAGGTCTGCCAATCAACATATTACATGTTAATTATGCATGTTATGATGGGGATTTGAAATTTATGCCTTGGAGCTACAAGCATTATTTATTTTGCTGTCACGTACTTATCAGGTATTTTCTCCTCTTTCATCCTTGAATCATGTTTTCATGCCATGCAGCAGCCTGTGGTTTTAAAATAGAGCAAAATAAATTCAGATATTTTTGTCTTATAATTAATGAATTTACTGTCTAAGTACCACGTAAGCTCAAAAAATTATTAAAGTCAATTCTCATCTATTTCCATTGTATGACGGCGCCATTACATGAGCGGGAAAGATGATCATGGTTCGCTCAAATACCAGCGTCTCCCAGACAGCCTGAGCAGCTGCTCCTTTTGGTTATGTTACGCGCATTCGGCCCGTCGTCAAGCAACGACCGCAATAAGCTCTTAATTAAAAGCCGAATAGATTAGGTGGCCGAATTGCACCTGATTCACCTCTAAGCCGAGTGAATGGAGCCCGGGGCAACCCAGAATGAAATATGAAATTCGACTGGGTTAGTTAGTAGCTGGGCTCCGATCTTTGCTTTCATAATTAGTTAGCACTGTAAATATATGCTACGGTTTAAACCGTAGTGCTATCTGTTCACTTATCGTAGTTTCATATGTGACTTCTTTTGTAATGACTAAACTAAAAATGAATAAAATCACTTTAAAAGTCAAAATTCAAAGACAGACATAAAACCTAAACAGGACCTAACATTATATCGAAATAAACAGGACTAGATTGGAACAACTTAGTCCTAGGGGTACGACAAGAATATAAAATCCTAGCGATTTACTATTTCCAGATGTCTCAATAATGCGTTTAGCTCATATAATCTGGAAATAGTAAATCGCTAGGATTTTATATTCTTGTCGTACCCCTAGGACTAAGTTGTTCATAACTAGTCCTGTTTATTTCGATATAATGTTAGGTCCTGTTTAGGTTTTATGTCTGTCTTTGAATTTTGACTTTTAGAGTGATTTTATTCATTTTTAGTTTAGTCGAACTGATGATGGAGCTGGACTCCGAAACGTTTTCAATATCGATATGGTGAATTTTCTTGGCGTTTTCTTTGCTTTTAAATTCCTTGTGAACTTGCGATATAAGCAGACTAATGATATAAGTTCTTTTGTAATGTGAGAATTTTTGTTAGTCACAAATTAATCCTCGATTCCTTAAAGTCACATTATCGCCTCAAGTTATAGAATATAATTGGGCCCCTTACACTTGATTAATTTTTCGTCATCCGTGAATGTTTATGGCCCGCAGGCAGAGACTCGGAGTAACGTACATGTAGCATATTTGCCCCGCTCCAGCACATAATGACTCAGAAACAACACTGTTAGAAAGTTTTTTTAATACCATTCAACTTGGAAAGCATTTACATTGCTTGGGATGATTCAAAACCAATTTAAACATAGGTTTCTATATACCTCGGTTTTATATGCGCTAAAAATTATATTTCCTTCAAGATATATTTTCATTATATCGTTATCGAAGTTCAAATTTGTCTTTATTTTACTTTTATTCTCCGTTAATAATATTTCAGTTCATTAGTTGAACATTAGATTTCTTAAAGAACTTCCTCTAATCTATTAACACATAATCTTGTTTCACGAAAACATACTTAAATATCGCGACAAAATTCCGTAGAGTTTGGCATTGTTCGACTTACTTTATCAAGTCATATGTTGTTGTAAAATTTACGTTCTATTAATTATTTTTACATTCAGAGTTTAGGATTTCAATCCTTTTAAAATTCATGGTATGTTCTGAATCAGTTTGAGACTAGGATGGGAACAGAGCACGACACTCTAGTTATGATTCCAGTATTTGCTTGTCTTGCAACACGAATTGATGTCACTAAATTCTGCCCATGTTCGCTCGTAAATTAAATAGTAATTCTCTTTTCTTTGGCATTATATTTCGGCAATAGTGTTTTTTCAAATCCTTATATTCACAGCATTTCGAAAATTTCCACCCTTTGATTAACTAATCAACAATACAACCTCCTCCAGGTATGGTTCCAGAACAGACGAGCTAAATGGCGTAAGCAAACCCGAATGCAGTTCATGCAGGATGCCTGGAGACTGCGCTACCTGGGCATATCACCTCCATCTTGGCTGACTCGTTCGTCATCCACCTCCTCAAACGCCTGCACTACCACCCCTCCTTCACCCTCTTCCCCATCATCAGGGCCGTCGTCCCCTTTACCAGGACACATAAATGACGCACGTGGAGATGAAGATCTTAATCATACCAATAAATCTACCGAGAACAGTGCCAGGACTTCCCCGCCCTCACCCCCGCCAGTAACACCTCTCAGTGAGCCCTCAGTTCCGTCGCAGGATGTACCGGCGGTCCAGCAGCTCAGCAGTCCCACTCCCGGGTCACAGCTGTCGCATAGCGACCGTCTGGCTATGGCCAACAGGTGCGGTTGTCAAGCCTCAAATTTAAAAATTAATATTTTCGTTAAATGTATAATTCAGTCGAAATCATGGCTTGGTTGGAACATGCATGTCAGATCTGGAGATGGATATTTTAACTCATTCTATGTACTGACAGGTCTTATGGTTAGATTCATTAAATGCTCATCGCTTGGGAGATCGCATGATAAATGTTGTGCTCACGATTATTCTATCATTTTATTGTGTCAATTTATAGCTTGAACGCCGCTGCAGTCGCTGCCACACTTCGCTGGACTCAGCAATACCCCACAAGTCCCCACAGTACCCATCCCTCTCCTTCCCTGCTACCTTCCCCAACCCAAAGTAAATCCTCGCAATTCTCTCCCACAACGTCCTTTCTCCAATCGTCTGCTCAAACCCCTTCAGCTCCTATTTATTCACCCAGCCTCTCGTTCCCCACCACTCCCTCGAGTCTATCATCAGCCTCTCCTCTTCTTACCCACCACTCTTCCTTGCTGCATCCCCACACCAACTTCCCCCACGTGGGGTGTCTGGGGCCGGGGATCTGCCCGTGTCTGCACCCTGGCCATCTTGCGGACCCCCGTTTGCTGCCGCCAGCGATGACAGGCGCTATGCCGACTGTAAGCGTCCATATTTCTCTATTGACTATTTCCTGACGTTGTACTACTGATTATATACTTCTTACTTCTATTGTGGATGTAAAATATTGTTTCAAGCAAAATTATTCCAAGTTTTGCCCGTTAGCCTGTGTAAATGATATTATATTTCCAGGGAGGAAGTCAACTGCTGACCACGCCTCACCGGCCGTATCTGAGCCACGTGTTTCAGGAGCTTCAAAATGTGTCTTCTGTAGCGCTTCCAATAATTCCACCCGCTTCAGAAGCTGCCTTGTCGTCAGCCAAAACGTCAGTTTCACCTGAACCTAAAGCTCTGCAAAATTTTAATGCTCGAAAAGAGTCGAGTAGGGACTCAAAGTCGAGCCACGATGAATCATCAGCTGAAAAAGTGGCCATCGGAAGCGACAAGGAAACAAAAAAATTTCGACAGTTGGACTATAAGTTTTCGAGTGTGCAGAAAGAAGAAGAAGACGCTGATGATCCTCAAATTAATGTAGAGAACGAGACTAAAGATGATTTGACTCCTGCCGACCTCTCCATCAAATCATCTGAAAAAGAATAAGTTTTCTATTATTAAATTGCTTTGCATTTCCTATGCATTGCAAAGTTAATCAAGAAAATTTGACACGGACTAGTTTTGTTGAAAAATAAAAGTGTTGTAGTTTAAGATTAACTTTATATTCACTTTGCGATTCATTTGCTTGTCACGTTAAAAAGTGTCAAGCATGTTACTGTTGTATCAGCGCTATAGGTCATTGCAGATTTACATAATAAAACATTTATAAAGATTTTGTTCCCGTCAGAGCGAGCGCGCAATACACATAAGGCACTAACTAGCTGTTACAAGCCTTCAAAGCAACCTCTGCACATAGTTTCAGATTATACTCCTTCGGTATTAATATGGTATTGACATTAATTCAACATCGATGAAATTTTCAAATCGATCTTGTGTACATTTGTCAAATGTTACCAAATGAAAAGATGTAAACATCGCGTAATCTATAAACGTATACAGGTTTTTATCTTGTCTGCCCACATTCCATCTCATTTGACAATCGGACCAAATGAAAAATTTTATTGTTTAGAAATTTCTGACTGTATAAATACATTTATAAATTACTTTCAATTTTGATGATGTGATGCAAGTCTACTTAAATGTGTGTACAGATCATACAAATCTTAACCATTACACGCATGTTAATGAGTAAATATACGAAGAGAGTGAAATTCGTGAAGCGAGTACCATTAATTATTGTATTCCAGTTAACCCTCATGTAAGATTTGCCTGTTACTGCATCCTCTTCCTCATAAAAAACTTGTAGGTGTTACCAATATTTAGTTACGTTAATCAATTTCGTCATGTTTACACGTAGTCAATATGTTAAGAAATTAATTTTTTTATTTAGTGTGATAAACACAGCGAATTGGTTGAATGTCTAATAAAGTAATTTACAAGCCGCTGTCGGCAACATTCCTAACTATATAAATAGGAAGTAGCGTGATAGCGGCAATTATCTTAACTAGATACATAAAGGAGTCGGCGTGATAACGGCAACTACATAATACATATCTTGACGAGGATATGGAGTCACGTGATAACGGCTACGATAAGTTGAACTTAACCAGACATGTATAACAGTCAGCGTGATGTATAGCAATTATATGTGTAATTGTATCGTATGATACTTTATTTATAAGTATCATATGATATTTTTTGGGACATCTTGGAAATGCGCTGATATCCAGCACATTGAACATGACTCTTTGAAAATTGTCTTTGTAATGCTTGAACTTTACTGTTGATAAATGCGGTCATACAGATGATTTGCTAATCCATGTTTTTATATTTTATTCAGAATAAGTCTTATTTCATCCGTTGAAGAAGTAGATGAGCGTTTGCCGCTGTACAGATGCCTGGGGAAAAATAACAATTTGTATATGTAATTATCGTGTCTTTATATTAATTGGCTTTGTGAAGTAATCCTGGTTTCATTTGAAATGTTATGTCAAATGTTATGTCCGTGACAAAAAACGGATTGCGCAAAAAATGTAAATAATATTATAGGGGCAACATGGGGCAGCGCGCCCCCCCCTTTTTTTAAACAAAATTTTTGATGAAGTTTTAATTTATACGAGGTGGTTCTTTGTTTTGTTTAAAGGTACAACTAATGAGGAATGCATAATGTGAATTAAGCGCCTATAGAGTTATTCAATTTTTAATGAAACACTATTTTGTAAAAAGTGTCAAAATGGGCCCATTGCCCCACCCCTGGGGCAATGGGCCCATGGGCTTGGGGCAAGGTGCCCACCCTTGGTCCCTTTACCACAATTGCATATTTTTCGTTTAAAAATGACAAAGCAACACTTTACAATTAAAAATAAGAAAAATTTAATAAAAATATGACATTTATTCATTTATTAACAACTCAAAAATTCATATCCTTAACTTGAAAAAATATACTCTTGGCTTAAAAAATCTATCACTGACGTGAAGAAAAATATTTCATTGAATAAAAATATATATCATTGACTTGAAAAATATATACCGGCGATAAAAAATTCGTCCTTGACATGATAAAATGTATCCTTGACTGGAAAAAATATATTTAGTTGATCAGAAAAAAACTTCGTTCCAGTTTCGTCCATAATCCAGATATTATGTGCAGAGAATTCTTACCTAATCGTGATTTCAGCCAACACCATAAAAACTCATAAACTTTTGGCTCATTGGTATTGACTGAAATCAACTTTTGGCAAGGTTGGCAAGGCAAGAGTCAATTACTCGATAAGGGGTCATAAATACTCATAACTAGAAACTAAACCTGCTGGCTTGAGGCGCCAAATCAAAAAATCATGCAATATGAAGTGTAATTTGTAATTCAAAAAGCTAGTAATAGTTTAGAAAAGGTCATTGAGACAAATCTAATGATGTATAACACAAGACTTCACCATGGGCGCTTTGCCCCGTGACACGCGTGGGCCCGTTGCTCCACTAGGTATCATTTCAATTTATATCGTGTCAACATTTATTTTAAAAGCTAATAGTCTAAACTTGATCTTAAAATTATCCCTATAAATATTACTTTCAAAATATAATTCACAGTAATTTCAAAAGTTTCATCTACAGTAATCGAAAACAGTTTTATTTAGCAGCAAACAAATTTTTATCTGGGCTAAAACAGTTATTCACAAATAACTTAATAACGCAAGCACTTAGCAAAACGTAAATCCGTACACTTCATCCCAGTGAAACTGTCGACCGGCGGTAAAGAACACGGACAATATCTGCCATACTTAGCGAGAAACCCGCTATGGGCCCATGACCCACAGTGGGCTCGCTGACCCATGTTACCCTACGTTTAAAAATTACTTTTTAAAGACAACACTTCTAAGGAATCCAGTGTCTCCAATGTTACATATGTACAATGAATTTCTCATTTTATTTTCGAATATTAAAAAAATTAATTTTTCCACTTTTTATAAAATATAAAATTTTGTTTCAAAATTATTTATTCTGTCAATTGATTCATGCATTGCCTCTGACTTCACACAAGCGTGCAAAATTTTAGATCAATTGGACAGGTAATAGTGTCAAATATCAGTTAAAAGATTTGTAGCTGACAAAATTATTTTTTCATTTTTTTAATATTGAAAAAAAAACTAATTTTTAAAATCATTTATTTTATTATTTGATTCATGCGTTGTCTCCAACTTTACGCAAGTGCGCAAAATTTCAGATCGATAGGATAAGTAGAAGTGTGTTAAATTTCGATTATGAGATTTGTAGCAGACAGACAGACAAACAAGAAGTGAAATTAAAGAGAAGTGTTGTAATAATAATATACGTTTAAAAATTACATTTTAAAGACAACACTTCCAAAGAATCCAGTATCTCCAATCTTACAGATGTACAATGAATTTCTCATCTAATTTTCGAAAATTAAAAAAATGTACTTTTCAATTTTTCTAATATATATAAATTTTTTTAATACATAATTTTTCTCAAAATTATTTATTCTGTTAATTGATTCATGCATTGTCTCTGATTTCACACAAGTGTGCAAAATTTCAGATCAATTAGACAGTTAAAAGTGTGTCAAATATCAGTTATAAGATTTGTAGCTGACAAAATATTTTTTCAATTTTTTTAACATTGAAAAAAAAAATAATTTCTAATTTTTTAAAATCATTTATTTTGACATTTGATTCATGCATTGTCTCTAACTTTACACAAGTGTGCAAAATTTCAGATCGATAGGATAAATAGAAGAGTATTAAATTTTGATTACAAGATTTGTAGCAGACACACAGACAGACAAACAGACAAGAAGTGAAGTTAAAGAGAAGTGTTGTAATAAAAACTGGCATTGAACGCGATCGTGTCCATTTGCAGATATGAATCAATCAACATAAGCTAAATTGACGTATTTTCTGGTGAAAATTGAAATTTTCTAATGTTTTTATGTCGACTTAATCGCATCTTTTCAATTGAAAAAAATTGACATTTGAGGCAAACCTGTTGTTATTAATCCACAAAATGATCGCCAGTTTCTGACACAAAAATATACCATTGTCTGTTTCGTATAGCTGCCGTTACTCAGTTAAATTTTTCACGGCCAGGAGCCAATTATTTTGAAAGCTCTCACCAAAACACAACATCTGTCATCAATTAGTTCCGACTGAACAAGTTCGCAACATTTATAAAAGAAATGAAGTTTGCTGACGCCTTAACAACGTTTAAACAGTTTGCCGTGTATATTTGTCAATGTCGCGGTGAAAAAAGTTCAGTATCGATTCATCGACTATATAGATTATTTGTTAATAAAATGAACTTTGAAGAATACAAAAACTGTTTGTTTTGTTATGATGCATCAACGAACTTTGATGGCCTTGCCATTGTATACATCAACGCACGTTCATGTATCATTTCTTATAATTATATTATCTAAGAAGACGATAGAGCTACTATTGAGTACCGCAGTGGGTCTTCTGAGATGGAAAGATGTAGCCTCAATCATGTTTGGTTGTTGCAGTTGGCTCGGCTTCTACTTAGAAATCCTGGTAAAGCTAGACGCAGCACGCGTTTAAAGTTCGATAAATATATTCGGGATCTTGAAGTAGCACCTCGAAAGTAGCACTTTAAGTGGCTGCTCTTGTACCTAGAGCTTTCGTCATCGGTTACGGTTCAATCATTGTAGATCCTCTTCTTCGGAGTTTGACAACTGGACGGTTATAAATAGCTGCGGTGGATAGATTAGCAGCATACCATCGTGGTGAAACTTTTATAGCGATAGCTACCCGTGGTACTCTCTCACCTTCTTCAAACTATGACGTCACCTGAGTAAACGATGCTATGAGTTCGTATCCACTTAAATCCGTTGAAAGTTATGCAATAGGTTTTGTATTCCTTAGGCAATTTGTAGGTCCTATTTTGGTCAAAATCGTATTAATGAAGTTTTTGTACTGATGATGAAGCTGGACTCCGATAAGTTTTCACTGCAGACAAAATGAATTTTTTGTCGTTTTCTTTGATTTAAATGCTTAGTTCATATGACAAGTTGCAACGAATCCGTCATTTCCTAATCTAAAGTAGAATTGACGTTTCATATAAATTTAAAAACAACCCACACTTTATCTAACTAT